ATGATGGTCTAGGCAGAGTTTGACAACGAACCATGGTATCATGACATCAAAAGGTATCTTCAAACAGGAGAATTTCTTGAAGGAAGCCAATTAGGTGACAGGAAATTTATAAGGAAGATAGCCCACAAATTCTTCCTTAGTGGTCAAACCCTCTACAAAAAATCATTTGATTCAACCCTACTAAGATGTATGGATGATACAGAAGCTGAACAGATCATAAAAGAAATTCATGAAGGTGAATGTGGACCGCACATGAATGGACATCTTCTAGCCCAAAAGATTATGAGGTTGGGATATTATTGGATGACAAACAGATTGCATCCAACATGTGAGATGTTGCTATCAATGTCAAGTTTATGGAGACAGAATTAATGCACCGTCAAATGAGCTACATCAAATGTCCGAACCATGGCCATTTTCAATGTGGAGCATCGATATGATCGGTCCAATCAACCCCAAAGCCTCAAATGGGCACCGATTTATCCTGGTTGCTATTGATTATTTCACTAAATGGATTGAAGCAAACTCCTACACGAATATTACTGCCAAGAATGTTGCAAGATTCATTAGGCGGGACATCAATGCTAGGTACAGAGTTCCAGAAGCAATAATTACGGACAACGGCTCAAATCTAAATAACAAGATTATGGATGATTTACTCGATCACTTCCACATCCGACATCTGAACTCATCCCCATATCGTCCATACATGAATGGAACAGTTGAAGTGGCAAATAAGAATATCAAGAAAATATTGGCCAAGACAGCGGAAAATTATCGTGTTTGGCACGAAAGGTTACCGTATGCTTTGGTGGCATACCGAACTTCAATTCGAACATCAACTAAAGCAACTCCGTTTTCCTTGATTTATGAAATGGAAGCAGTGCTACCTGTTGAAGCAGAAATTCCTTCATTAAGGATATTATCCCAATTGAAGCTTTCAGAAGTTGAGTGGATTCAACAAAGATATGAACAACTCAACATGATCGATGAAATGAGATTAAGAGCTATATGCCATGGGCACGCCTATTAGAGAAGAGTAGCTAAATCCTTTAACCGAAAAGTGAAACAAAGGCATTTCAAAACAGAGGATTTAGTAGTGAAGAAAGTCATTTTCAATAATTCATATCCTCGTGGCAAATTCACTCCGAATTATGAAGGTCCATACATTGTCAAGAAAGTTCTTCCTGGAGGAGCATTGATTCTTGTAGATATGGCAGGAACAGAATTGGCCTATCCTGTAAATGCAGATGCTGTCAAGATTTTCTACCCATGAAATGAAGACGAACATTCAAGAAGAGATTTGGGTTACTTTAGAACATGTGCAATATCATGCATACCATGCATTTCATGAACATGTTTATCTGTTTTGCAGAAGAAAGCAAAAAGAGTCCAAACCAGTCAATGGTTTCAAAAATCCCAATGAAGCTGTCAAATAATAAAGGGAAGTATTATTTCCAATTCAATTTTCCGTTGATATTCCCTAATGTGCTTTTCTTTTTATCATCCCCAGGGAGACAAAGAAAAGGGAGTAACAAAAGAAAGAATCCCCAGTGGAACCAAAGCAAAAACATGCAAACAAAAAGGATCTTGGTAAGTTGATCAGACAGGTATCCCTAAATCGTGAGTACATGTGTTAAAGAAGTTGCCTTCCCAAGAAAAAATCGAACTTTTTCTTCCCCAAGCAAAATGACACTAAGATTGAGCAAAACAAAACACATTGTTTTGAAAAGAAAATACCTTAGAAATGTTTCAAATCAAAAGTTTTGAAACATGCTTTCTTTGAGAATGCATTAAGTATCAAAATTCCCTAAAAAGGGATAATTTGACAAAAGGCTTTGAAAAATTTCAAAGAAAAAGTTTGAATCAAATCGAATGGAAAGACCTTCAAATGATGAAAGGTAAGCCGTATCCAAACACGTCCTCTATACACTCAAAGTCAAAATGAAGGAGTGAGTGAGAAAAAAAAAACTCATCCAAAGGAAATAAGGGATGTTCGCAATGATTACATGGATTGAAATGATAGTAAGGAACAAACATATAACACGGGATAGTAAGGAACTCACTTGAACACATAACAACAAACATATTCATACACTTGGCATACTAACAACATTTATTTACACAACCTTACACTAGGCCATTAACATCAAATCATGTTCATCAAAAAGGGGCGGTGATTGGGTAGCATAACTTCACTACCAAAAGGAGTACACAACATACGGGAGCATTAAACCTATCTTCAATCCCCGTGGTACTCTGGCGGCGTCCCCGGGTCTTCCATAACATCATGAGGCTCAGGGGTCTGAAAGGTTTATAATCAACTATGAGAACGAGTCTCAATAAGCGAACAACCTAAGTCCCGCATAGGCCAACACGTACTTCCGAACAAGTCTAAGCACGAGATTCAAACTATCAACATGCCGTGACAAACACAGACATCTCTACCTCATCTCGGAACATGCACAAGTCCTGCATGTTAGTCAAATCGCAATAATGCAGCAATAACTCACGGACACGTACAATCCCGAAAATGACTTACACATGCATGTGTGCCAGCAATAATCCGAACATGATCACATCTCAATCTCGATACACTGCATACACCAATGCACAACACACACCCACTTTTCCGTTCAGATTATTCACGACCCGCGTAACACGCATTAGGCCCGTGGCACAAACCGCGTAAAATGCATCAGGCTGGCGGTCTGCCGGCTTAACCGTACATCGTCCCTCGTAACACGCCTCAGGACTGGTTAAATCCCCATGTAAAGACGCATCAGGACACTTAGGTGATCACACACGCCACATGACCCATTCAATTCCATGTCATTCATGCGCTCGAACATCACTCGAATGTGCTCAATCACCAGCAATGCAAATCAGTTTACACGCCCACCAAATCAGCCACGGTTCCACCAAATAAAGCCATGAATGCACATTCACAATCAGTCACTCCCTCACGTGCAACAACCACAGCGAAAGGTTCCCGAGAGAGAGAAACCAAATTTGCACAGAATCGGCCTTAAAATTGGCAATTGCACAGTAATCGAAACTCTTTCGAAATAAATAGTAATTCAACTCCAAAAAATTTTAATTTTGGATATGTCATTGAAAACATCTTGATAAACATTTTTCATGAAGGATACAAAATCCAATTGCGGCTGCAAACAGCTCTTTTTGTCACCCAAAATCAGATTGAAAATTAGCCCACCAGGGTAAACCGTTTGGCCTTAGAAATCCCTTTCAATCAATACCAAAATCTCCTTGGAAAACCTTGAAATTTTTATATGTCATAGACACAATTGTCATTGACAACTTTCATGAAGGAAGTTTGTTGAAAAAAGGTCTGAAAAATTTTATAAAAAATTCAGAAAGACACGCCAGTCGGGTGAACAGTAAATCCGGCAAAGTGGTGACGGTCCGAAAATGGACTTCCAAATACACCAAAAAGGTCTCCAAAAATTTCAGATTTAATATATGACATACTACAAGATATTAGGGTCAACTTCCATGAGAACACTTCCTAAAATTCGGTCCACATTGATCTCTACAAAAGTAGAAAAACACAGACGCATAGCAACAACGAATCCGAGAATCAACCAACATGAACCATTTAGCAATTCAAGCTCATCTAACTACTAAACCAACTATCCACAGCCATGAATCATCCCCTAAGGGCGCGCATGGAATCCATTCTGGAGCAGAATTTCTACTCCAGAATGCATTCCGGAACAGAAATGCGTTTGTTAAAAAATTTCCGGAATGCATTCTGGAGCAATTTTGCATTCTGGAATAAAAATGCATTTGGTAAAAACACATTCTTTTTTTGGTTCCAGAATCAAATTTTGATTCCAGAATGAGTTTTCCACCAAAAAAGAGAAGCTACTTTTTGTAGCTTCTCTCTTCCCGGAACTCATTCTGGCCCTAATTTCTTTTTCTTTCTCTTTCATCTCGTTCTCTCTTTCGGAATTCATTCTGGCCCTAATTTCTTTCTTTCTCTTCCATCTCGTTCAACTCTTCAGTTTCGTGCCCTCCCCTTCCCTCCTCACGACTGCACCGGAACCGCCACTGCACGTGGCGGCGATCAATTTGGCCTTCCCTATATCTACGTCTCTTCAGTTTCGTGCCGTCCATCCCTCCTCGCGACTGCACTGGAACTGCCACCTCACACAGTGGCGAACGATTTGGCTCTCCCTATATCTCCGCTGCTTCCGTTTTTTCATGCATAGTTAGTGAGTCTTCGATTCCTCCAACTGTTTCACCTCCTCTCGTTAGCTTTTTCCTTCGGTGCAATCCGCGGTGCGCGACGCGACCGCCTGTTTAGGGCACGCGGCCCGCGCGAATCTCACTCGATCGAGTCGGAACGAGTGAACGAGACGCCGCGGAGTAGTATGGCGAGAACTTGATTAGCATGTTGCGGATTGAGGTTGAGGTTGAAGTTGAGCCGCGAGATTTCGGTTTCGAAAGGGCTATGATGTGTGGATTGTGTGGCTAAATCGGTTTGTTTCGTCATTCGTGTCTGGCTCTGCGGTTCGCGGCGAATTGCCGCAAGTAGTTGGCGCATTTGTCTCGTTTTTATCTGGGTTATCATTTCTAGGCGGCATCTCGAGCACTGGCTTTCGTTTTAGCACAGGCACTAGATGATGGGTTTACCCCGGGAAGGTTAAATTTTATGGATTGGGAGGACGGTCTACAAGTGAAAGATAGCATATCGACCTGAGATAGTGAGGGGAAACCATGGCATTTCATTCAATTTATCTCTTTCGAAGGCTATCCTCGACTCATACTATAATCTTTCTGTTTTCCTATGCTATACTATTTGTTAGCTCTTTGGTAGAGTTTCTCTATTTTCAGGGCTTGAAGATGGTTATAAATCTTGTAATTCAAATAAAGAGTGTGTGAAATCACGAGCTTTAAGTGTGACTGGAGCTTCAATTTTCCGCATCGATAGACTTGTGTGTGCTCAATCTTGAGGCATGCATTGCTTTGACTATTCGATGTGTCTGATTTTAGGGTTCACTTGAATTGCCTGTATCAATTAATTATTGCCTCCCATCTTATGGTTTATTTGAACCATTTCAAATTCCAATAATCTCGAGAATGAAGTTGGCCCATTTCTCCTTTTTATTTGTATTTTCCCTTTGAATATCAGTATTTTAATCTTCACGATTTTCCTCTCTTCATTAGCTCTCAGGTGCAATATCTATATTTTCTCATTGATATTCAGTTTAAGGCTTGAGTCTTGTAGCTGCTTGCAATAATCTTGTGAAAAAGGTGTTCACTTGAAAAACTTTTGAAGGCTTGGGGATTGTCCCCTCTACAATTCTAGTACATAGTACATTATGTTGTTCTTGTCAAACATCATTACTCTCTGGTTGATGGTGCAGTTCAGCTTGGGACTTGGTTCAAATTTTAGCATAATTTTTTTAACCTGAGTTCAGCTCCTTATTTTGCATGTTTCCACCAGTAGGCAAGCCCCTTACATAATTTGATATATGGACTATGCACCTTTTATGTTCTCTTTGATTGAATAGTGATTATCAAGTTTGGCCGGTGGTGTACTTCCTTTCGCAATAGCTTGAAACTAATGACATTAGGGTGTGAAATTCTCTGCTCAGGTACAATTTATGTTCTCTTTTGTAGATGTGCTCCTCTATTTAATTCTTGTTTGTTTGTTGAATCGCCATTACCAGCATTTGCCCCTGAAATTTCATCGATTTTACATAAATGGAATCCTCCAAATACACGTACATGGCAAAGTGGACTGAGCCATTGACCGAATTGTTTGTAAGTCTGATGGTAGATGAGGTAAAAAATGGAAATCGCACATCATGTACCTACAACAGAGTAGGGTGGATTAACATTGAAAAAGAATTCAATGAACAAACAAGACTTCACTTTAGTCAACCACAGTTCAAGAACAAGGCACAGAAACTGAAGAGACAATATGGTAGTTTTAAGAAGTTGCTTTCAACAACGGGATTTGGATAGGACGATGACAGCAAGAGGGTTGTTGTGAACGATGAAACTGTTTGAGCAAATCACATTAAGGTGATGTTACTTACTTAGGTCATCTTATTATTGTAACCTCAAATTTCAAATTTATAAAATGTTGAGTACTACCTGACATTATTTTGAAAATGGCGCAGGCTAATACTAAATGGGCCAAGTTCAGGAAGAACGGATTTCCTTTGTATTCACAGCTTTGTGTTGTGTTTGGGGATACATACGCCACTGGGGAGTTTGCAATAGGAAATGCGCAAGCGTGGCACCGTCGGAGGGTACAGGTGACAGTGGTGGTGGTGGTGACAATGATGTTCATGTCAACCTAAGCGAACCTGAACTGTTTTTCGAAACCCAAGCTGATGTGGAACAATTTAACGTGTCGGTGAGCCCACATCCAAAAAGTCACACGTTGGATAGGACTCCAAATGCCAAGAGGAGGAGAAAGAGCAATTCGCATTCATTTGACGCGACCTGCAAAGCCATTCAAGAGATGATCAAAGCTAAGACGGTTCAAATATCAAGTGCCTCCGTCACCTCATAGTCCTTAATACCTGTGGACCCTTACTTTATAGCAACCGTGGGTGCTGTCCTAAATGCCATGCATGACTTGGACAAGGTTCTTTACATCAAAGCTATGAAACATGCTGTCATTAATGCCTCTTGGAGAGAGGGCTTCCTGACATGTCTTCCCGAAATGAGAGTTGCCTTTATTGAGGCTATGGATGAGTAGTTGGGGGCTCTTGAGTAGTTGTTGGGCTATAGTATGCCGTTTTATGTTTGAGTTCATTTCGGCTTCACTTATGTATTTCAGACATTGACTTGTCTTTATGACTATGCGTTTGTGATGATGTTGAGACTTTGCTTTAATGTGATTGAATTCCATAATTATCTGTTGAGTGGTATTAAATTCCCAACATATCAGTTCAAATGTATTGGCTTCCCAACTGACATGTTGAGTTTGTCTTCTTCTTTCGCATGATGGCCTAGGTAATATGGAAGGGGGTCAAAGTAGCTGGTCTAATAATCAAGTAGCATCAAGTGAAACAATTGTATCGAGTTAACAAGACTTTGATGAGGATGGGTTGAAAATATTGTTGGCATGATTGTGTACTGCTTGGTTGCATAGGTCCATGCACAGGACAGAACGTATTAGGGACAGCGTATTGACAGGACCCCAATAATATTAGCAAGCTTCTTCATGGACGTTCAGATAGAGTATACGAAGCATTTAGAATGGAGAGACATGTTTTTCTTAACCTTTGTGGTTTGCTCAAGTCAAGAGGTTGGTTGGCAGACAGTCGATATGTTAGGGTAGATGAACAGGTTGCCATGTTTTTATTAATGATTTGTCACAAGAACTCCAACAAAGTTTTATGTGAGAGATTCCAACGTTCAGGAGAGACTGTTAGCAAGTACTTTGCAGCGGTGTTGAAAGCTGTTTTGGAATTGGCGAAGGAGATTATCGTACCTCCTTCGTTTGATGTTGTCCCAGAAGAAATTCGGATTGAGCCAAAGTTTAATCGTTACTTCAAGGTACGTTTTTCGTACATTTCCTTGCACCATTTGATTAGTTTTGCTCACAATCTTGTCTAATGTATGTATTTAATTAAATGACAGGGGTGCGTAGGTGCTATTGATGGCACCCATATTCATGCTACCGTACCTGAACATATGCAACCACGATTTAGAGGTAGAAAAGGCACAACCACTCAAAACGTGCTGTGTGTGTGTTCCTTTGATATGCGATTTACTTTTGTGTATGCTAGTTGGGAAGGATCAGCCAACGATTATCGGGTGTTGTCGGCCGCACTTGACACACCTCACCTATAGTTTCCTCGACCACTCGCAGGTGCTATTTTGATATATAAATGAGTATTTGTGTTTATGATTTTGCTAGGATTGCATTTCATGATCAATCCATGAATACTTTGTTGTAGGCAAGTACTACGCCGTCGATTCTGGTTATGCTTCAAGTCCAGGATTTTTAACACCATTTAAAGGCGAACGGTATCATATACCAGAATTTCGATGAATCGGGGGACCAACAACAGCAATGGAATTGTTCAACCACAGGCATTCTTCATTAAGGAATATCATTGAGAGATCCTTTGCGGCTTTAAAGAATCGTTTTGAGACAGGTGCCTCCATTTAAATTTGAAAAACAAACACAGATTGTAATTGCATGCTGTGCAATCCATAACTACATCATTGAGCAAGATAAGATGGATAAGTGTTTGTCCATATATGGAGATCCGGATTATGTGTGTGAACCTACTGAATAAGGTACAGACGATGTAGTAACGACCGAAGAGGGAGCCGAGATGAACATTGTTAGGAAACGTATTGCCAATAAAATGGCTAGGGATAATCATATGCCGCAGATTCCATGAAATTCGGTTTTCCTCTATTGTATTGTACTTCCATTATTATTATTCAAGGATTATTTGCTTTTTTTGCCTTTTGTAATGTAATGTTGTATTGTAGGATTCGTATTATGTGTAATTGAGGATTTGGTACCAGGTCTTCTTGTAATGACATGTTATTTTGGAATTTATGTTCTTTTTATTTGAGGATTCAAAAAAATGTACTAGATTTTGCCTCGAATATCATGCATTGTAGGTTAAGATAAATAATATTTTGCAATTGAGTTCGGACTATCTTTGTTGCGGAAATAGAATTGACGTGCCGTTATCAAATGTATTTTTGGCTTACTTTGACTGAAATTTAAATTTTTTGAGGTGCCCAAAAAAATTTAAAAAATTTAAAAATTAAAAATTTGAAAACTTCACAGAATGGCTTAGAATACCTGTGGCCACTTACTTTGAGTGAAATTTAAATTTTTTGAGATAGCAAAAAAAAAAATCAAAAAATAAAAAATTTCACAACTTCACAGGATGGCTTAGAATACCTGTGGCCACCTATTTTGAGTAAAATTTAAATTTTTTTAGGTGCCCACAAAAAATCAAAAAATAAAAAACTTCAAAACTTCACAGAATGGCTTAGAATACCTGTGGCCACCCACTTTGAGTGAAATTTAAATTTGTGGGCACCTCCAAAAATTTAAATTTTCACTTAAAGTGGGTGGCCATAAGTATTCTAAGCCATTCTGTGAAATTTTGAAATTTTTTATTTTTTGATTTTTTTTGGGCACCTAAAGAAATTTAAATTTCACTAAAAATGGGTGGCCACATGTATTCTAAGCCATTCTGTGAAGTTTTGAATTTTTTGATTTTTTGATTTTTTTTGGCACCTAAAAAAAATTAAATTTCACTAAACGTGGATGATCACAGGTATTCTAAACCATTCTGTGAAGTTTTAAATTTTTTTATTTTTTGATTTGTTGAATTTTTTTTCGGAAAAATTCAATAAATTTCCTATTTTCCCGAAAATCTGACTGTTTTCCACTATTGTATTATACTTCCATTATTATTATTCGAGGATTATTTGCTTTTTTTGCCTTCTGTAATGTAATGTTGTATTGTAGGATTCGTATTATGTGTAATTGAGGATTTGGTACCAGGTCTTCTTGTAATGACATGTTATTTTGGAATTTCTGTTCTTTTTATTTGAGGATTTAAAAAAATGTACTAGATTTTGCCTCGAATATCATGTATTGTAGGTTAAGATAAATAATATTTTGCAATTGAGTTCGAACTATCTTTGTTGCGAAAATAGAACTGACGCGCCGTTATCAAATGTATTTCTCATCCAGAAGTAGAAATTTCCTCTTATTTTATCAAACAGATTTCTCTTCCAGAAATCAATTTCTGAAACAGAATTAGGCTGCGCATGACAACGATTTTGTGCCCGGGAACAGATTCTGCTCAGAAATGATTCTTTTTTATTCTGTGCCCGGAATTGATTCTGAGCATTTTAAGGCGTTTGTTAACGGCCCAAAATTCCATCCCTAGAATAGAAAAAGAACAGAAATGTGTTTGGTAACGCCACAAAATTTCTTTTTATTAATAATATTTTTAAATATTTTAATATTTCTTTCTTTTTTTTCTTTTCTTTTTTTCTTTTCCTCCTTCTTGGCCATAGCCTGCTCACCGGCCATGACCGGTAAAATATTTTTTTATTAATAATATTTTTATTAAAAGTATTTTTTCTTTTTTTTGGCCATGGCCGGTTGCCGGCCATGACCGGTAAAATATTTTTTTTATTAATAATATTTTTTATTAAAATATTTTTATTAAAAATATATATTTTTATTTTTTTTGGCCATGGCCTTGTCGCTGACCATGGCTGGTAAAATACTTTTTTTATTAAAATATTTTTATTAAAAATATTTTTTTTTCTTTTTTTGGCCATGGCTCGATCATTGCCACGGCCGTAAAATATTTTGTTTATTAATAATATTTTTATTAAAATATTTTTATTAAAAATATACATTTTTATTTTTTTTGGCCATGGCACAGTGGTCATTGCATGGGTAAAATATTTTTTTATTAATAATATTTTTTTATTAAAATATTTTTATTAAAAATATATTTTTTTTTTTTTTGCCATGGCCTGGTCTCCGGCCATGGCAGGTAAAATAATTTTTTTATTAATAATATTTTTTATTAAAATTATTTTATTAAAAATATATATTTTTCTTTTTTATGGCCATGGCCTAGTCGCCGGCCATGGCCGGTAAAATATTTTTTATTAATAATATTTTTTATTAAAATATTTTATTCTCGTCAGATCCGGCGAGGGTGGTCCTCGGGCTAGGACATTAGAAGCTAAATTAAAAACCAAGAAAAGGAAGAAGAAAAAAAATTGATTCTCAAAATTGTTCCGAGAATCAAGAAGCTACTTTTTTTTTATTCTTGATTCTGCTCCAAAATTGATTCTGGGAACAATTTTTGACAAAATTGTGCCCATAATCAAAAAATTAAACAAACGCATTTCTGTTCCCAAACTGATTCTGGGAACAAAAGAACAGAATCAAACACTGTTTGGCAAGTTGTCATGCGCAGCCTTAGTCTTGTTTTATCAAACAAATTTCTCCTTCAGAAATCAATTTCTGACAAGAATTCCAGAAATCAATTTCTGGCAAGAATTTGATTTCTAGAGCAAAATGGTTACCATTCACACCCTAACATATCCATTAGTAACCCCTTAGCCTAGTCAAAAGTTAGGAAGCCACTTACCTTGAGTCTAGACAAGAATGACTCAGAGGAAAGGGGCAGCAACAAGGTCGGCGAGAACAACAACGGCGAGCGCGAAGCGAAGCGAAGTAGAAGCGAAACGGAAGCGGCGCGGCTGAGCGAAGCGAAGCGAGAAATGGAAGAAGCAAAAGCAGAAACGGAAGAAGTAGAAGACACGAAGCGGGAGCAGAAGCCAAGAAGGAAAAGAAGAAGAAGAGGAGAGAGAGAGAGAGAATGAATGAGAGAGAGAAGACTTCATCAGATTTTTCTTTACTAACCCCACTAAAAACCCCATCACCCACCCCCACTCACACATCCAAGGGCTCACATTCCATCCCCTTCTCCAAGTCAAGAACTAAGGGTCCACATAATTCCTCACATTATTTTTCCAAAATTCCTAAATGGCACACAAAATAAATAAGCAAGATGAGGAGGGGCATACTTGTCCATGAGTTTCGGCCAAGGGAGGAAAAGCTCATATGTCCAAATTGCCCTTTAACCTTTCAAATGAATTCAAATAATCCCAAGGGCAAAATGGTCATTTTCCAATTACGATCCAAATTTTACTTTTCCAACAAATCCGAGTGGCCCTAAGGTTGACCACGCCAAATGTGACGTTGTCCAATGAATTAGTCGTGACTTTCGAGAAATTCGATTCCCAAGTCCGGATTCCAAGTAATGGTAAAATTCGATTAAATGAACTTTAGTGTGTCTCAAACTATCGGGCGGCTTTTAGGAGTTACGCGTATCGACTCGTGGCCGATTCGATATCGGGCCACATCTAAGTTTACTCGAGCCATGGCGACCTCGATTGTCATGTAATTGCGAGGGTCAATCACTAGTTCCAATCGACGTGTCGTTCGAATTAGGTTTAGGATCGTTCGAAATTTATACAATGGTCAAGCGGATTCACCCGCGATCCAATTATACAACATTTGCGAATCGTTCCATAACCATCATTGGATTAGTCTATAATGGCCCAAAATATCTCCTCGTCAATCCTTATGGTCAAAGTGTCGATTCACGGCCAAGTTCTTAGGTCCACGTACTTAATTCCTAGTTAGCCATTCTCTAATGGTTAGTCTTCTCAAGAGCGATCAATTCCGAGTGAGATTTAACTAAAGTGCATAGAAGATACAATCATTTCATAAATCCCGAGAAATAAGTCGAATTTCATAATGTCACAAACTAGTAGATGAAATCAAGTGAAAATAGAGAATCCAGTGTCTGTTTTGATGAACACTGACCACTACGGCCCGGAGGACAGGCTGAGAATGTTGATCGTGAGGCTTGGAACGCCAAGGGAGGGCCGCTGATCCACCGGAGACACACAAACCAGCAGGTTTCCTTCCTCGGCATCTTACCGGTTTTTCCACTGGTCTTGCTGCCGCTGGTTTTCAGTTGTTGTTCCAGTGATTAGCGGCCCTCCTTTAGCATTCCAAGCCTCATGATCGGCATTCTCATCCTGTCCTCAAGGCCGTGGTCTAAAAATGGGTGAATAGAGATATTTTTGTGTGAGAAAGAGGAGAGAGAGAGAGAGAGGGGGAATTTCAATTTTTTTTTAAGTTTAGAGAGAGAATTTTCATATTTCAAATGGCTAGCCCCCTTAAAATTTGGAGGGAAAAAGCTTAAATTCCTCCCTTGAGTTTAAATTGTGGACCTTGGATTGATCTAATGGCTCACATTGCTTTCTTAAGGTTATCTCT